TCCATCCTGCATCAATTGACCCACTGCCCCACCTTTTAAAACCTATATGTAGTCTGCCTAAAAGCAAAATCATCGATCACAGTCATTCCGATCTCGTGAGACTTCGTGGATCGCATTCGCTGCTTTTTGGAAACCTCACTCTGGCCGCGGTCTTTATCTATTCTTCATCTTTCTCTTCCCACTTGTCACCCATGTTTGTTGTTGTTGAGAGAAAAGGCGCGAAACCGATCTGGTTTTTTTTCATAAGTTACTCTCTTGTCAAGAAATCTATCGGTGTTGATATGAAAAAAAAAATGCTGGCTGGATTGTGGAAGTTTAGAAATCTGCGCTGAGTGTTCCATCTTTGTGAGCCCCTCGATTTTAGCTGCCGATCAGAGCAGAGTACTGTAGAGGACACTGGACCTCCCCTTCCCTACTTTAAATGGTCTTGAAAAGGTTTACAAGCGATAAGACCATTTTAGTCTAATTGCCCAATCCAACTCGGAGTCGGAAGCCACCCATGGATTTTACCCAGAAGGCATCCGGATCTCATTGCACTTTGTTATATGCCGGTGCCACTACTTTTTGGAGACTACAAATACACGAGTCAGCTCTCGCTCCTTTTAGCTCCTTATGAGTGTACTCCTGTCTAGAGAAATAATGCAATCTGGCTTCAAACTCCTACTGAAGCTGCCGATTCAGAGAATGACTGGATTGTCGCAATCCGAGCCGAATGTCCCCACCAGCTTACAGAGTTCTACTGGATCTTGTTATTTTTGTGTATCTAAGAAGACGACAGCAAAGCCGACCGCCGCCGCCCAAGGCCCGAGGCTGGAAAGTTGCAACAAAACTTCCGTGTGTTCCCATCAGGAGACGTGCTCTTCTACTCCAATCACTCAATCCATTCAGGAATATGTAGTTGAAACCAAACTAGCCGGAATGGAGTAAAGGGCTCCAGCATCAATCTTGAGGCCGCCCTACTCTTGCCCCTCGCCCTATCCATCCCTACAGTTTTCAAATTAGAAAATTGGAGAGTTCGGATCTTGGTTACCTACATGCATAGCACAGATGTGGTAGAAAAACTGCATCAATTTAAATGATGGCAAAATGGGTCCAAATGGCCCCAGACAAGTCAGGCCAGCACGATTGCGCTTAGCAAATAACGGTATTGTCAAAAGCTCGAGAATGAACAAGATAGCATCCATCTCTAGATTTCTTACATAGCACACATCTATCTCAAAGGCTTCACAACCACTGCCTCTCGCTTACCACAGCCTCAGGACTGAACGATTCAAGAAACTCCTGCTCCAGCTGCTCAAGTGCTTGGGAATTGGGAAACTTGAACAAGCCGCAAGTAGTTTTGAGCCAACCCAATTGCATACTCAAGTCCGGCCGTGCTCAAACTTGGCAAACGTCCCTCCGGAGTCCGAGGAGGTCGCCAACCGGGGGCAATCTCCTGGGGACCTGGTTGGCTTTTGCCGATTGTCTGGCTAATTAGCTACATCCTGACATGCTCAGCCTCACGGTCACCTGCCGGAAAATCAAGAATTCGCAATGGACACAATTGAAAGACATGGAAGGGCTGTGCTCATTGAAAACCAATGGGTCAAGATTGCATAGGAACTCTGGCTATAAATAGCCTCCCTTTTCCCTTTTCTTGTGATAACTTTCACAAAACCGCCAAGTCACTTCAAAGACCCAGTGAACTCTTCTCCAAGTTGAACAGCAGCTCGTACATATCATCCTTAACAATTTGTAGTAAAAACGTTTACATCGAGATGAATTACCTGTTTTCTCTAGCCTGTCTCTTGACTCTCATCCATACTCTCCAGGCCGCACCAGCACCAGATACTTTCCAAGGCATCCCGACGAGAATGCACCGGGGAAACGATAACGATATCGGATCGGGCGGGATGGGTTGTCCCACTTGCTAAGGAAAACATTGATCAGAGTAGGACATGCGAGTTTCAAAGAGCTGGTACATATAAAATTGCATTTTTTTCCCTCTTTCTTCTTTTTCTTAAAATTTTTTTATACAAAACAACGAAATCCTCTCCACTCGGTCAGACTCGATCCTGCATTTATTTGAACCGCTGCTCCACCTTTTGAAATGAAGTTTAGTCTGGCTAAAAAACCAATACATCGACCACAGTCATTCGGATCTCGTTGGACTTTGTGGACCGCTTTCGCTACTTTTTGGCAACGGCACTCCGGCCTCTGTCTTCTTCTCTTTCTCTTCCAGCTTATCACCCATGTTTATTGTTGTTGATAAAGAAAGAGTCAAATTGATCAGGTTTTGATTCAGAAGCTACCCTCTTTTCACGAAATATATTGGTGTTGATATGAAAAAAAAAAATGCTGGGTGGATAGTAGACATGCCCGCTGAGCGTAATATAGTGTCAAAGGACGGATGCATACTTCCCCAAGTACAACCGTGTTTCTTTTTTGTGAGCTCCTTCATGTTATCTAGCTGCCGATCAGAGCAGAGTAGTGTAGATATGAGAATGGCATGTGAGCTTTAACTCAAGGGGACTTGAGAACCGTACCCTGAGCAACTCCGGTTTATCATTGACTTCAGCTGGGCCTTTCCTTCTCTACTTGAATGACCTGAGACAGCGTTCAAGACCATCTCAGTCCTACTGTCCAATTAATCTCGGAGTCAGAATGCACAACTTGAATTCGTCCAGAAGGCATCTGGATCTCGCCGCACTTTGTGTCTGGCTACGTTTTGGAAACTCGACTGTTCAGTTCTAGCTTCTTTTGGCAACCTTTCACTCACGTGAATCCTGAGGAGAAAATGAATCCAATGCAGCTTCAGACTGTTGCTCAAGCTGCCAATTCATACCATGGCCGGATTGTTGAAATCTGAGATAACGGTCTACCACTGCCAGTCACCCTGATTAAATGTCATTTTTGTCCAAGAAAAAGAAGTCAAGTGCTTGGGCAAACACCGCCATCCGAGACGAGAAAGTTGCATCAAAACTTGCGCGTCCTCCAATCAGGAGACGTGTCCTACTCGAGCAAGATCTATATCCATAAAGAATGCCTTTTCAAAATAAGCACGAATGGATGGAGTAGGGTAGAGTAAGATGCCCCACCCCCATCTCAAGCTGCCCTCAGCGCCCACTCCGTCCTCGCTCATGGTATTCCCCCAAGTCTTAACATCACAGACGTGGAGAACACAATGTCCAGATATACATGTATTTATTTATGTACCCACTCGAACGATCTTAGAACTCCCACTGCGTGAGCTATCTGCTCAGACTGGCCAGCCCGACGAATTCTCGGACCGGCCTGTCCGAGCAGTACTCGGACATGGTTGTCCGACGAGAGGTCGGACTCGCCTGTCCGAGCAGATCGTTCCGCCCATCAACAGCTCGGACAAGCCAGTTCGACGACTCGTCGGACGGCTATGTCCGAGAACTGCTCGGGCAGGCCGGTCCGATGACTTGTTGGACCGGCATGTCCGAGCAGTTCGCTGAGGCAGTGTCCTCAGGCAGGCCGGCATGATTATCCTATAAATCATTAGATAACGATATGTATTGCTAACAGACTGAGATTTAAACAAGACAACATATTGTGTTTTTCAAATACCTTGGACCGATTTCTGATTTTTTTTTTTTTTGTTCTTCACAAATTATGGATATGTATTATTATATTATCTTTTTGCCACCATTTTTTCTCTGCTCAAGCGTGAAAATCCATCCCACATGTATGAATTTTTGTGAAAATACACCTCATGGGATTAACCACTGCGCATTATCCACATGCCCCTTTACAAAGATCCCCATGTATCTTTGTAAAGTTGGCCCACTGACCCTTGTCGGTGTCTTACTACGCCTGGTGTTTTTACTCCACATCCGTCTGCCATCCTCCCTTTGCCTACGGTTTCGTTCCAAATTTTTTATTCTCTTCTATCCTACTCAAATCAGAATTTTTTACTCATATTCAATCCAATATGGGTGACCTTGTCATCCAGCCTGTTACCAGGGATCCGTCTTTACCAACATACCGACAGGTTATCTCAAAGCCACTCACTCCGACTGTGACTCCCCCAGCTGCTGCGCCAAAAAAAAAAAAGGAAGATTAAAATGAAAAGGTTCAAGAATATGCCGGATAGTGCCGATGAGGAGGGTGAAGATTTGAACGAGGTGCGTGATTTCATTCTGTTGTGTTGGCCTTCTTATTGATACACACAGACCACTCTGATTGATTGTTTCTCCCTCCGATCAGAAAAAAATTGTGAAGTGCAAGACTAACTTTAGGATCTTTGCGCCTGATAAAGCCAAAACAAAATCGCAAGGCGGCATCAAATCAAGGGTTTGGTTAACGGTGGCCAACCCGAAACCAATGGTAATTTCAATAACTGTGGCGCCACCGGCCGAGGCAACTCAATTTTCGGACTTTCAAGATATAGTGATGACCGCCTGTGAAGAAGCGGTTAAAAACTCTCGTGGGATGATCAGCAACTCTCTGGCCTGTGATACCCCTTTGATTCAATGGACGGCGTTTATCCCTCGAGTCGACGGGTTCAAAAAGGACGACGGCTTTGTCCTAGTCGATGAAGACGCTTATTCCGAGTGGATCAAGACGCTTGCAGCGGTGGGAAATGGGGTTGCATCGTTGTCACTTGAGATGGATGACCCCAGGGCAGAGGTCAGGCGTGCTCATCAGTCCTCGGTCCTAGCGCGAGCGGCGATACGCAAGGATGCCAAGGAAGCTGTCGAGGCTGCAAATAAACTCAAGGCGACAAATGTCAAGCCAACAACCAATCTCACTATGTTTGACGAGGGGAGCGATGACGCTGTGGAGGAGGAAATCGATGCTGACGATGTCAAGTTGTTGATCAGGAAGCTTTACAAACATCACCCACACGACCCTTCTTACGACCCCCTTATTCCAGTCTACATTGACCCCGCCAATCGCGAACGATTCGTAATCCTGACCTATCATGCGTGCAAAGAGTGGGCCCGTGCCATCGTAAGCCTTTTGACATCTGAATGCAGCTAAATACATGTAACTCACACCTCCTTGACTTGTTTTGGGTAGCTTAAACCAACTGCGGGGGTTACTATTGAGTCTCCCCCTAGCTCGCTCAAGTTTGAAACCAGAGCGAGTTCTTCTAAACGCAAACGCGGTTCTAAATCAGGCGTGGCTCAACAAGGGAAAGGCGGTCACCCGCATCATGGCCATCACGGTTCGCAGTGTTGCTCTCATCACCAAGGCTATCCTTCTTCGGTCACTTCTGAAGGCACCCCGGCTCCCGATGATACCGATATGCGTCAATACGTCGAATTCATTGGATTCCGAAACCAGGAAAATGTCATCAAACTGCTGGTCAACAATGACATGACCTCTTATAAGATTTTCAAGTCGCGCAATCTTGATCGATCATTGCTCCTTGGCCTTGGTTTGACCGTTGGAGTGGTAACTCAGCTTTTTGATAATGTGTCCAGATTCGAGCGCAAGTTGGCTAAAAATAAGAAGTAAACTTCACTTCACTTTGACAGTATCAAAGTGAAGTGACCTCGGGTCTCCTTTCCTTTTGTCCTCTATCTGTTAAGCGACGAATTCTCTGGAATTGTCTGTTTGTTGGATGAAAAATTCCTAGTCTTTGTTCTTTTTTCCATTGGTCTGCTTAACTTAACTGAAGAAAAATGCCTCGGATTATATCTGACCTCCCAAAAAAGTCTCTGTCCAGTGTCTGCAGCTCTATCTACTATCTATCTACTATAGCAAAGTTGTGAAGTGAATTTTCACTTGGATTGTCTGTCTATCGATCTAGTCTCGCTTGCAATGACAGTGTGTTTGTGCGCCATTTGAATGGCAAGTCAATGAAATTGAGAATGAGAACAACCGGATAAACATTGCACCTTCACTTCCTCTCATTTTCATGTGAGGGTGAAGTCGAGTCCAATACACTAACGAAGTCAGTCATCATCACTTTGACAAGTTGGATGGATCATAAAATCAACCGATGATTTCAAATTGAGGTGATGAGTGTACACAATGTTTGATGACGCACTCACTTGTCTGACTTGCTCACTCAATACTCACTCACGCACTCATAACACCTTACCACCTTACTGACTTGTCTCACTTACAATCGAATTGTCTCACTCACTCACAACTGACTGATTGACTCAAACCAAACCATCTCTCATGATGGATTGATTGGACATTCTCACACACTATCACTCGCACTCGCAATATATTGGGGGGCAGGCATTTCTCATTCTTCATCTTCACAGAATCACGGGGTTGGGGTAGACAAAAACCAAAAAAGTGAAATGGGGCATAAGGGGTCGGTAGGTGTTAATGAGCTAAAAGTTGTTAAAACCGGCTAATATTTCATCGCGGTGTCGATCAGCGATGACCTCATCCGCATGAGCCTCTAAGCGGGGCACTCCTTCGCACAGAAGTCGAGCGACTCCAATTGGGAATCCAAGGGCGACCAAGTCCTGTTCGTTTGAGGCTCGAAAAAAGGTCCAATGGGTGATTCCATGCACCCGCATACGCGCCCGAGTAACCTCGTCCTCACGTGGTATGCCTGCAACATTGAGGAACATCTCCATGGAGAGGGTCTCCATGTCAGCCCGAGCGGCACCCAATGGGCGCCTAACTATTTGAGTAGGAGGGGTCGTTGGCAACGCTCGGCGGTCCTCGTCACTAGTAGTGTTGTTGGAGGTCTCGAGTTGGTTGTTGATGACATCCGCATGAGCCGGTTGGGTGTTGATTGCGGCATCAGAGCGAGAGACGGGAGCGTTCTTGCTGTTTGTCGCGGCAATGCCTTCGTTCAGGCGGCGGCTTTTGGAACCCGCGTTTCTGGCTTGGGCTGGTGGAGTCGCCTCCTCGGTGGAGGACACTTCGATATAGGCAGGGGGGCGGCCGCCGGTACTGGCACGGGCTGATTTTCTCTTTGGATGATGCACAAGCGCCTTCGCCTTTGGGGTGATAACCGGATGTGGCGAGGTTTCCAAGGTCCAGCTCTGCAGATATTTATTCGAAGAAATCTCATATTAGTATCTATCTCTATCCCCTGTCATACAATAGATACAATGAAAACTTACATTACATGTGCCATCCTCATCCTCACGAGGATCCTTCATGATCAATTTGAAGACAATTTTCGCCGCGCGAGCCGAATATGCCGCAGTGACAAAGTCGAGGTAGCCAATCGGGCCTAAGATTATGAACTTCTTTTCCGAGTCGTACTTTGGATGGCCGGAAATGGAAGCGTACCAGGCGATCTTCTTGTCCTTGTTTACGGCCTCAAAGGCGGGGATGAGGTCAGAGCATTGGGACCCAAGGAACTTGAAGGCTTCGGTCTGAAATTGCTCCCAGGTCATTGACTGGATGTCGGTGACCCAGGGCATCAACGGAGGCTTAGCCGTTATCTTGGTCCATTGTTTAACCGATGGCGGGGCGGCTCCCTTACGAGGCGAGATAGTAGGGTGCACATCTGGGATAAAGAAAAGACATTCCAACAGCACAGAGGTCTTGCGAGGTGGGTGTTGCAATGCTGGTGCATCGGCCCCTTGAGTCTCGGGGCATAGAACAGGTGAGGTTTGCTCAGGCATGATAACTAGCTACTACTATGATGTGATGAACGATGTGGAATTAACTGTAACAAACACAAAGAGCTGATTCAACAATTGATAACGACCTGTTTGGGAGCAGTGCCAAGTTGGAGATGTGACTGCCTATATATACGGTGTCTTGGACTTTGACGAAACACCCTGCCCACCAATTCAGCAACTTAGGATGCCATACCATGCATCAGATACCTTGAGGTGAGGGCCCATGATGTGACCAGCTGCGCAATTCCGACATAAAAAAGCCTCATGCGAAGATTTTGACAGACATGACACATGCACTCACTGAGATCACAGAGAGTTTCCTTTCTTCGGCTGCGGGACAAACACATCTGGATGATATCGAGGGGTCTGGCAGCCTTGATCGTGGGCACACCCATCAAAAGCATTTGGACCATTTCCACCAGATTAGCTTATTATATTATGTATGCACGAAGTGAAGAGTGGTGCAAGCTGGCATCAGATAAGATAGATGTGGGTTGGTTGCACTGATACACGAGTCACTATATACAGCAAGGAGGACCTCGGACGGAGTAGCCACAGTGTTTATATAGCTTGTAACAAAGTTCTGGGGTGACCACTTCATCAAAAGTATCACGGATGTCTTCCTGTGGTTCAGAAGAATCGGTGAGGATTTTTGAACGACGAAGGCGATTTTTGAATTTAGCAAAACAGAGCTCGATGGGATTCAGCTCAGGACAGTAAGTTGGAAGGTAAAGAAGTATGACACCGGCTTCGTTGCAAATTTCTTGGACTCGAGTCCCTTTGTGGATTTGGGCATTGTCACAGACAAGGATCGAGTTTGGGTTGGGGTATCGGTTCATCCGAGGTATCTGGAATCACGTAAAGAATATGGATGTCTTGGCTTTCATGAGCAAATCATAGGCTAATTTGCTCGGGTGAATATCACCATAAAACATAAACGCACCAGATCCCATTCTGTGAAATCCTCCCATTTTTTGCCAGTGAACGTATCATCAGAGATGGCCATGGCAAGAATCCCATCGATTGAAATGGCTGGGAGAAGACTAATCCGCTCAGGATTCTGCCTCTCAACAACACGGGTAGATCGTGTCCCACGAGGCGAGCGAGCAAAATTCCTAAGCAATTCTCGGTCGCATACAGCAGTCTCATCTGAATCTCATCACAATCGGTTGTCAGCAGGAGGAAGCGGTGATCAAAACAAATCAATTTCGATGGAACAACTAAGGGAGTGAGCCCAACAGAACTGACCACAGAAAACAAAAAACTCCGCCGGCACCGGTTGGATCTTTTCAATGTAAATGTACTTTGCCATCAGACATTTACGTGAGTTGACTGTGTCGGGTTTCTTGAGGGTAATTGCCAGCCGCTTGACTAGAGTATTATGCACGGTTTCAACACTCAACATGGTGCCTTGGGCGTCGTACAAGCGCTCTCGAATCTCGTCCAGGAACAGACTAGGCTCATCCTTGAGAAGGTTGACCATGAATAAGCATTCTTCGGCTGTGAGTAAAGCTGGTCGACCTTGTTTCTCATATTCGGCCGGGTCTCGGATGACACAACGGGTCTCGCGGTAAAGCTCCATCCAGCGGTTGAAGGACTGTCTCGAAGGTGATACACCCAGCGCGTTCCGGATACAATCAGGAGTCAGGCCTTGTAGAGACATCCGGACCACGGCGACCTTGGTGGCAGGAGCATAATTAACAAAACCCATTTGAAATCTAAAAAAAGCAATTGAAATCCTGATTAACGTATTGGATAGAGGAAAAACAGAGAGAAATGCATAACAAACCTTCGAATGTAGCCGATTTGGTTATCTTTCTCATTTGCTGGGCGACGGATGAGCGGTTCCTCAAAGTCGGATGTTGGTCTGTGGGTTGCAAGGCGGTCAGAGTGGGTAGGGCTGTTTCCGCATGGTGTTGCATGCGGTACTTTCATGCCTTTGAGATCAATTCTGTAGCTACTAGTGGGTGAAGGCAGCAGAAAAAAAAACCAATGGCAGAAATTCAATTTAAATCTCCTCCTGCCTGTGTCTTAAGTGCATAAATCGAAGTAATCTGAAAAAAAAAAAAAATCAGAAACCGGTCCAAGGTATTTGAAAAACACAATATAATATCTTGGGAATCATTGCTCCTGTTGTGACCTAGGTCACATGGTGTGACTCGGCTGCGGCTCAGCCAGCCGGAGGAGACTACATCCGTCTCCTCCGGGCCACACCTAGTGGAATCCATACCGATATACACACTGAAGCTCCTACAGGTTATGAGCCTGCGTTACCAGCTCCGCTGAAGAATCTCGAACCCGACGAACCATACCGGATTGACCTTTTCATTTGAATCTCGCCGAAGGACCATACCGGATTAATCTTTTGAATCTTGCCGACGAACCATACCGGACCAGCCTTTTGAATCTTGCTGACGAACTATACGGACCCATCTTTTATCTCGCCGACGGAGGAATACCGGCCCTTAACACCCTAAATCTTGCAACAAAAACTGACAAACGATACCGATTTCATTTTTTATCTCTCTATTATTACTATTTTTTGACCAATCTTAGATGGATCATTCATGCGGTGCTTACAGTCGGATTCGACTGTTCTTGTCTGATTTAAACCTTGTTCTAGGATCTACTTCATATGCGACTCCCTATAGAACAGCTCCAAATTCAAATCAGATGGTTTGTCCTCAAAACTTGTCGCTCCGCAATCCTCATCAACAATTCTTGTCGAAGCGACCGACTTCTCGCTCGCGAGCTTGGAAGAAAACACACCCGAAAATCTTTGTTCAGAACTTCCCAACTGAACAGCGGCTTCCCCGATCAGTGTTGGCAACTAACCGTTTGGAGTTTGAGAAGAGACCAAGAGAAGATAATCCGTGCAAGAATTACCAGCCGCTGAGTGTACCCAAACGCTCCAGACAAACCCAGCCAAACGTCCGATACCGAAATCCTCCACACAGCTTTGAATCTGATCATCCATCTATCGAGGCAGTTGAACATGACAAACCCGACTTACAAGGACCTGAAGACGGCCAAGATGTTCATGAAGAGTCCGGCTTTGGCAGTGACAAATGTCCTAGTGATTGTAATGATCTAGACAACAAGCGCCCTAACGATCTAGATGAACATGTTGATGATCTTTCAGAGCAAGAACAGGCCTCTGAGACAGCGTCTGACAACTGTGATCCTGAAGTTTTACCTGAGGTTGCGCCACAATACAATGACCCTCGGGTCCCTGAACCGGCTTTTAGCATGGACAACTACAGCGCAAGAGATGTCGATCACTGGGCTAGAACTCTGTCGGCCGATCAATTTGAACAACTACGAATCTTAGGACCTGCAAGCCGGATTGAATCTTTCCGGCAATATGCCATCTCCAATCTTGATCGACCGACTCAGACGCTTAGCTCATCAACCCATGAACACCTTGACCAACCGGTTCTTCCATCTAGTGGCGGCAAAGACAACAGTGATTACCACCACCACCAGCCTGATGACATTGGCAGCAACAATTTTGACCAACAGCAGCTTGCAACTCCAGATGATGAGTCAAGATCTACGTTCTACAATCACTCGGACGACTGCAACTCTCATCTAGAGGCATTTGACGACAACGGTTTTGATGACGGCAGATTTGACAATGGTGGATTTGATGACGGTGGTTTTGATGGTGGATTTGACAATGGCGGTTTTGATGATGGGGGATTTGATGACAGCGGTTTTGACGATGGCGGCTTTGATGATGGCGGCTTTGATGATGGCGGCTTTGACGATGGCGGCTTTGACGATGGCGGCTTTGAAGATGGTGGTTTTATGATGGCTATGGTTCCCCTTATTATTAGCCTGTTTTACATTACAACCCTATTTCCAGCTTATCAAAATTTGATTTTTTTATATCTTCAACCTATTCATCATTCTACATTTATTTATTTTATTATTTTTTATCTTTCAACCTCCTCAACCTTTCCCCACCAATTTTTCTTCAAGGTTGAGCTTATTTGATTATTTTTTTTTCCATCTTTCTTCATTTTCTTTCTATTTTTCTCAGCTTGTATGTAGTTAGGACCTCCCTGGCAGGTGTCTTGGAGCCTTGCCGAGGGGGTGGGTGTTGTGACCTAGGTCACATGGTGTGACTCGGCTGCGGCTCAGCCAGCCGGAGGAGACTACATCCGTCTCCTCCGGGCCACACCTAGTGGAATCCATACCGATATACACACTGAAGCTCCTACAGCTCCTACTCCAACCACTCAAGCGCTTGGGAATTGGGCCGCTTTGGCAAGCCGCAAATGGTGTCGAGCTGGCCTGCAATTTATAAATTTAAATCCGGCCCTGTCCGGCCATTTCGGGGGAGGAGCACACAAAACCATCGAATGGCCGAACCAGCCGGAGGCAGTGTGTATTTCCCGGGTGACTGCGCCTGACTGTCTGGCCGTCCTTGAGATGTGAAATGATCAGCTGGGAAATCAGAAATTTACATTGATCAGATTCAAGGGAATCGTGATGGGACATCAGCAGAGGGTTTGCTTATCATCATAAAAGCTGCCTCTCTTTCGCTTGACCATCGACTTCCTCCTCTCTCCCCACTGACTCCCAAAGACCCATTGACCAAGACTATTTCTCCCCAAGTTGATCAAAGCCGACTTCAAGCTTGTATACCTCTTTCGATACAAAGTACAATCACCATGAATTACCTGTTGGCTATTATTGCTTGTATTTTGACTCTCATCAATACCCTGCGAGGCGCACCAGCCTCAGTTGGCTCTGGGGACCTCCGTCCCAAGCACACTCACGACACCAGACGCGTTCTTGGCTATAACCCCACACCTGGCTCCCTCCCCAATCAACCAATTACCGGCTGTTGCTAGAAAAAGACAACGAGGATTGAAAACATAGTCGAGTCGTGCTGGGCTGGTTAGTTCGAATTATCTCTTTTTCATGACTCCGCATCTTCAACGATTTGATTTTATATCAATTGACTCCTCTCTTCACTTTTGGTTCGATAAAAACCTGTTAGTCTAGTCATTCAGACGACGAGTTCGATCCAATTGGTCAATCGATCACCCGAGAGAATCACCAATCAAATCGATCCGGATCTTGCTGGACTTTGTATTCTACTTTCTTGGAAAAATAAATCTGGCTCTTTTTTATCGTCATCAACGTTTATGATTGTTGAAGGCGGAAAGAAAAGAAGAAGTGCTACTCCTTTATGAAAGAATACGTTACTCAAAGCGATGTTGATTGGACAGTGGACAGGCGAGCTGGATGAGCACTATATGTCAAAGGAAGGGATGAACCAGATTGAAGCATGAATTGTGCTTCCTTGAGGTTTTCCACATTCGATTTTCTGAGCCCTTGATAGTCACCCGATCTGAACAGAGTATTGCATAGACGACGCGGACTGACTGGATCATAGAAAGAATTAACTTGCCCATATTGAAATCCTTGGTGCTTTGCTATCTTGCTTAGGAAATATTTAATATGTTGATTCTGAGGTCACTTTCCTGAATCTAGCGGTGGGGTTCTTGAAGGAAAGAGTTAAAAGACTCCCGAGCAGGAGGGACTGTTGGTTCGGAATCGAAACAGTTCTGGATCCAACAGTCTTTCATTGTCGAAGCTTGCTTGAACACGCTCCATGGGTCCAAATAGCACAACTTCCTTTCATCCGGCTAATCTCAGCCTCAGGTCAGATCTGTGGGCAAGATGAAAAGGAAGCTTGTCAGTTGCGACACACCTCGGCCTTGGCCCTTGAGTATGTTAAACCCATGTCCGGCTTTTCTTATAAACATGCAATGCCAGCTGGGAATTGACGAGTTATTTGCAATTGATGTTGGTATCCAACCTGCCCACTCTTTGTCTCTGCACTTTGCTCTGGCCTGCCCACAGAACTTGATACACATCGAATCTTCTTTTCTCAAACTTGATCAAACCACTCAAGCATTAGCCACCTTTGCCCTTGTGGATCGTTTGCATTTATACACACCTAATGACACATGCATACGATAACCTCATCATGAATTGTCTAGCAGTTGTTATTGGGTATCTGTGGATTCTCCTCCATCATCACACCGTCCGGACTGCAGCGATAGGCTTTCCTCCCGGCTATAGGGGGATTCACAACGCATACACCCCCTCCCCCAGATGTCCTCACTGTCACTAAAAGCTACCATCCATCCGGATTATGTCGACAATACTTTTTTTTTACAAACAACCTGGTTAGTTCGTTTTCTGCCAAAAAAGCAATCCTTGATCTCCATTCAAATTTTCTCCATCGATTGATTATCCAGGTGCGCTTGATCTTTTGTTCCTTATAAGAAAAATCAAGTTAACGGTCATCTCTGAGCCGCCCCTGACAGACACGACGTGCGATGGTTGGAACTGTTGAAGAGAGAGCCTTGATTAGCCAGCTTCCCTTTTGGACTCATGTTTATCCCCGCGACCCTCTCTCTGCTTTTCTCTTTCTAGAATAATGTGTCCCTTTTGTTTCTCTCTCTCTCTTGCTCTTGGTATTTATTAAAGCATCAACTTCACTCGAATTTCACTTTCCTTGTTTCCCTTGTCCTTCATGAGTTCATCTCCTGCGTTTGCACTGACCCATATTTTGTGTGTAAGAATGTAGGCTCCTTGAGTCTCTTCCAGCATGTCATATAATCAAAGTCGGAATATGGTCTTGTCAATAAATCCAAGCAGCCTCATCGGGATCTCTCTCCCTGTATTAGTTTCTTTGCTTTCATCAATAAAGAAAACCATTCGCCTGCTCGTTTATTTCTTCAATACAAAGTATCCTCACCCTCATGATCACTGTTGAAAGAGGGAGAGAGAAAAGGAAATTAAGCTGGCTTTCAAGTCCCCCTTCTATCGCTTATCAGAGGGCAGATTAGAGAGTTTGAAAATGTGATTTGTGGAGTGAATAATATTTTTTAAAAGAAAGGACAGTAGCCAAAAAGAGTGAAGCTTGGATCGTGTTTTTTTCTTGAGTGACAAACTCCCAAGTCACACCGTACTTGTGAGCTTTGACTTAACCGGTTGTCGAATCTTGGTGTATTAGAGCCTTTTTTTTCTCTGTCTCTTTCTTAGGAGGGGATTTAGTGATTGCGTTCAGGAGAATAAATTCAACAGACCAATTTGAACAAGAGAGAAAGAAAGAATACTCTTCCTCTCGTACATCGGTCTCTGGGAAGAAACAAAAACGGTGATCGAGCGGGTACGCCAGTCTCCACTACATAGATCCCAATGGATTTGACATCACCAAGCGCCCATCGATCCCAAAATTTATTTATTTTTATTTTTTCAAGTGTTATGTTATGATATTTACGAAACATCGAGACGATGATAATCAAATGGGTCCCAACAGATCCTCCTCCCCAACCCAAGAGGGGGGGGGGGGGGGGGGGGAGTATTTTCTTTCAGGGTAAGGCTACGAATTCAAATCGTCATCCGACCCGCCGGTCTGCCTCGCAGCCGTTTTCCATGTTGTACTCGAGGACCCCATCTGTTTTTTTTTTTCAATTCAAGAAACAGGATCGTTCAGCAAACGGATGGTGGATGATATGTTATGTGTTAGTGATTTAAGAA